CCTCTTTGGCCCATCTTCTGGGGATGCTGGAGGAAAGGTGGGCACGGTATCATTACCTGGAAGGTCTGCCGTGGTCCAGAAGCCTCCAGAGTGATGTCATCTGATGAGCTGATTAGGGTACATGTCAGACAAACCTGAGCATCATGTGGGTACACACTAACACTTCAAGGGGAAATATACAATTTAGCAGTAGACTCAGTGAGGTTCTAGTCTCTTGAAGACTTTCTGTATGCCTGCCAGAATGTTCCACTTGGACCTGTCTTGCTCTGTGCTCTGAGGAGAGCATAAGGATTCTTTCTCATCCATGGTGCTCACCCCTACATGGACCTACACTCTGGCCCAGCCATCAAACAAAAAGTTCTTCTTTCTAAATATTTTCTCTCTGTGATCATAGAGGTCTGGTGTTCTTTGTTTAAATATTTGTCCCAGATTCAAGAAAATATGTCATGAGACTGAGTACAGAACCATGTCATTAAACCTCCCGGAGTCGGCATTGGAAACAACTCCGCAGAAACTCACAATTGTCAGCTTGAAAGGGAAGATCCCTGGGGGAGCTGTGAGCAGGCCTGGGGAGGGTCTGAGTGACAGCTTTGCAATGCACCGAGCCGCAGATGGAGCAAGGCCCTAGTGTGGCATGTGCATCTCTTCCAATGAGAGTTATGACCCCAGATCACAGCAGCCGCTTGAGAATGTTTCTCTCTGCGGACAGACACGAAACCAGCAAAGCTCCTGCAAAACTGCCAAGAGGGAACTTGAAGACAGAATGACAACAAGAACACTGTCATGGAAGAAACAGTAAATCCCAGAGTGAGGACACCCCCTCAGCATGATCACATCAGAGTGAAGACACTCCTCAGCATGGTCACACCAGAGTGAGGACACTCCTCAGCATGATCACATCAGAGTGAAGACACTCCTCAGCATGGTCACACCAGATTGAGGCTATACCCCTCAGCATGGTCACACCAGAGTGAGGATATACCCCCCCAGTATGTTCACACCAGAGTGAGGATATACCCCCTCAGTATGTTCACACCAGAGTGAGGATATACCCACCTCAGCATGGTCACACCAGAGTGAGGACACCCCCTCAGCATGATCACATCAGAGTGAAGACACTCCTCAGCATGGTCACACCAGAGTGAGGATATACACCCCCAGTATGGTCACACCAGAGTGAGGCACACCATGGTCACACAGGACAGCATTGACAGTTGGTGAAAGATAGTCAAGCTGCCTTAAAAGAGGACAGGCCAACAGCTCTACACACAGATGTAGGGAATGCCCTAAAAAGTGACATCTCCTGTGTGTGTCAGTGACCCTCCCTTATGACAGTGTCTGTCAGTTTGGAGCATTCCTCCATAAGAAAGATTTGGAGACTCATTTTTTCTCGAAGCTTGCCACTGGAGCCAACCTCCCATTTTCCACCCTCTCAACACCAAGAGGTGATTTCCCTACGATGCCCATCACATCAACCCATGTTCTGAACACGGAGGTGGACCAGAGCACAGGAAGGACAGGGCCCGGCTGACTTGTAGAAGGAAAAACAACAGCAAGGATATGAGCCTGTTTGTTTACACAGGCCTGACCTCCATCCTCCTATCAAGGCCGTGGTGACAAAGGAGACACTGACCCAAAAGGAGACCAACTCAGAGACGGGAGAGGAAAACAGGTACGCCTGCTTTCAGTTTGAATGCAGAGAAACCCTGCTGGCCATCACATTCCCCTCCCTGGCAATGGTGCTGCTGGCCAGCAACATAGAAACACAGGCAGCTCTGTAGCCCATGCTCCTCCCACGGTCCTGGAGTATCTGGGCAGGTGATTTAACCTCTCCCTGCCTTCTTCTCATCTGTGAGATAGGAACACCACTACCCATCGCAGAGGGTGGAATTGATTCATATGTGTGTGCAGGAACAATGCCTGTCACTTGATATAAACACGTGCAATCATACATTCAACAATTTACATGTATGCATGAAACGTTTTTCACCATATGTAATGTGTGTATGTGTTTAAAGTTTATAAGCAAGATGTGATACATAATAAAATAAATGTAATAAGATGTATAGGAAAGAGATCACCTGACAAATGAAGCTATGGCTAAAACTTACAAAACACAATATAGATAAATATTTCAGAATGACTATAAAAGGCTTGCTTCCAGTGTAGAAAACACAGGAAATTGCATAAGGAATCTGATACGGATTGTATATGCCAATGTCACAAATCACTGACAGAGAAGGAGGAGGTGCAGAAGTTTTTAAAACCAGATCTATTCTACAAAAGGATGAGTTGACATTTTCTTTTCAAATCTTTTTAGTACAGAGCAGAGTCATTAAAGTAATTTTATTGACCCCATAGGTTATTGTAACAGACACTCAATAGACATTTACCATTGGCAATAATTATGGTACTGATAGCTCTCTCGTGAAAATAATAAAATTTCAATACAAGCAACTCACATTGGATTAGGCCTTAAAAAGCATTCCCCATGTTTCTTTGATAGAGCCCCCAGCAATCTCCTAAGAGGCGGGGGCTTATCTTTATCTTAGATGGGAAAACTAACGTGAGGATGACAGAGTTCCTGCTGAAAGCTGAACAGCTTTCTTCGAGTTCAGGGGCTGGGGACAGAGCTTAGTTGTAACATGCTTGCCTAACATGTGTGACACCTGGGGTTTGATAACATAAACTCAGTGAGAATGCAAGTTCATTTTTCTATACAGCATCCTCTAGAGAGGGACGAGGCCCATATGCCCAACAAACCAAGTCCGAGTTAAGTAGTTGCTTAATGAATATTTGTGAAGTCAGTGTGGTTGCAGGTGGTGCAGCTTCCCTCCCTGTTTTTACATTGTTTCCTGCTTCTCCAAAGTTACCAGTGTAGCTGTGTTATCATCAGGTCAACACAACACTCAGTGGAAGTGAGCCCATGAGAATGAAGCCGCTCCTACAGCTCCTTCCGCCTGTGAGAGTCTGTGGTTGCTCAGAGGAATTGTAGTCCACATGACTATGCTTTGCCAGTCTTCATTTAAAATTATGCTTCTTAAAGAAATAAATTTGCCATCAAAAACTAAAAAGTTGCTACAAGTCAGGCATATGGATATGCACAATATACAAAGGAATTTTCCAAAGGTGGTTCCAGAAAAATCATGCTCGAAAGTCCATCGCCAAGGTCAGAGGAGTCTTCCCCTTTTGTGTGAGAACTAGGAGGTGTGTTGCTTCCACACTAAGGCTGAACTGTGATAGAAGGGAGACAGTCACCCCAGGTCCAGGAAAGTGCCAGCATCTTAGAGAGAGCAGAGCTGCCTACCTCAGCTCATGAGAGAGGGGCATGGTCGCCTTGCAATTAAGACGTCACCTGAAACTTCAGGAAAGGCCCCCAGGGTCCCTGACACAAGGGAGTTGTTGCTCTCAGGGGACCTGGGCCCCAAGTCTGCCACAAGAGGAGGGGGAACAAACAGGACACTAGAGAGTGCCTCGGGAACGCAGGAGTCTAGCCTGGATGTCCCTGCCTGGCCACTTCTCCCATGAGCCCCTGATGAAGGGCAGCAAATCCCATTGGCCTATAAGATGTATGTAGAGACCACCCAGAGGCTGAGCACCTGCTGGGGCTCAGCCTGCACTGGGCAGTGGAGTAGTGGAATCCAGAAATTATTAAGGTCATCCAGGGGAAGGCAACTCAGGGAGCTTGAGCCAGAGACTGGGTTTTGAATGGATTTTGAGTGAAACCACACCTCTTTACTGCTTGCATATATATATATATGAAATGTGCCTTGCTCTGGATAACCCCAGTCAGCACGTTGTTCAGGAATGGTTGCTGATAGCCTTTCCTTTCACTCTAAAAGTATCCTAATTTATTCCATAAAGGCATAGATGTCCAACATTTGAGGAATGGATGGGGGAAAAGACCATCTCCAAGCATTTAGGAAGAACAGCTGAAAGGATGAAACTCCCTTCACATAGGAAGTCTTCAGCTGCTATGACTCTGTTGAGTGTGGCCAGGAGCTCAGTTTGGGGTGTGCCGAGTTTAAGATGTCCACGAAATGTCCAAGCTTGGGGTGACAGTGAGTGGCTTCCTGTTCTGTAGCTCGGGAGAAAGGATGGGCGAGAGATAGAAATTCTAGCCATCGCAGAAGGATGGAACAGAAGCAATTAGTCAGGTGTGGTCACAAGAGAGGAGAAGAAAATGGGATGGTGGGCCAAGCCAGGAACTCCTCCAGCACAGTGAGAGCCCGGGAAGGCTCCACTTCCAGGGCAGGAGGGAGCAACGAGCTGCATCCTGGGTGACCAAGAAAAGGCTGTGGCCTTTTCCTACAGGTGAACCACAGTCTTCTAGTTCTGTTCAAAGGCACGATGACCATCCCCACATTGATAACATAATGGAGATGACAAATGTCTGGAAGAACTGCCCCCATGGTTATGCCTGGTCAGAACCACACTAAGAGACAGTGTGATGTATTTCCCAGATCAGGAGACGCGGGCTTTGAGTCAATCCTAACTTGCTTCATAGCTTAAAGTAAGCCCTAGTTATAGACCTCTCTCTCTCTCTCTCTCTCTCTCTCTCTCTCTCTCTCTTTCTCTCTCTTTCTCTCCTCCACCCAGTTCCCTTGTGCAAGTTTTTAGTTCCTTCACTCATCCAGGATGAGTGTGGCAATGTCAGTGTTCTGGGAGGCACTGTGGAATGAAGACACAAATTCCGTGGAATTTTTTCACGGTTGTCCTCTAAAGGATCTTTAAATGTAGACACCCCACAGCCATGTCTCTACGGTGCTTTGGGGGCATTCCTCAGAGTTAGAAACACAGCCTGGGATTGCCTCTTACTAATTGCACTTATTTATTCGTGTTCATGTTTGGGTGTCCACTAGCCCCAAGCCCTGTTCTAGCTCTGGGACTATGAAGAGGAGCGAAACACATTCCTTGTCCCCACAAGGCAATAGAACAACAGGCAGGTGGACAAATACAGGTTTCCTGGGGCTCGCACAGTAAGCAAAAAAAAAAAAAAAAAAAAAAAAAAAAACCAGCCATAGCTGATGGATGGCTCATACCACTTCGATAAACTCCACTGGAGACATGGGCTACTACGCCGTGAGGGAAAACCCTTCATTTTCCATCTACTCGTACTAAAGACACTGAAATGCTTTAAGAACCTTCTGGAAATGACCAGATTCCCTAACAACAGCTATTATCTTAAATGTTTAACTGATGGGCACATTTTGTCCAGGCAAAATAATGTAGAAAAGAGTCGGCAATAAAATGGCAGGAAAATTAAGATATTAAAAGCTCCAAAGCAAACATCTGTCTTGGTAGCTGTCTCCAGGATCACCCACCTCCCTCCCTCCAGGACACTGCCTGCAATGGCACTGTAGATCCCCCAGGACCCTGAAATCCTGCACATCAGCATTCCTTCAGTTTGGTGCTTCTTATTAATGAGCCAAATATTGTGCTGATTTACAATTAAATCAGTACTGACATCCATAAGGATGAGGAAGCAAGTGAATGACGACAGCCCGAGGGGGACACATAGTTTCATTTTCTTTGCCTTACTCACAAGTGGTTACTTTGTTGTTGGGAAAGCAAGAGCTCATTGAAATTGAAAAGGGACATGGTGTCTGTCTTTCCAAGGGCCATGGCGGGAGCGGAAGGGGGAAACTTTGGAGGGAAGAATGAAAACTGAAAGTTCAAAATGGAAAGGAAAGGAAATCTAAAAGTGTCCAGCTGAATTCATATGCCCAGGGCTTCCTTTGAGTTTTCCTTTCAAGACTTGGGGGTGGTTGTTTCTCCTAAAGGATAAATCCTCAACTTCCAACCACCAAAGAGAAGTCAATCACGCTTAACCTGTCTTCCTTGAGTCACACCGTGTTACAGGCTCGCACATGCATAAATCTGTTCAGGGAAATAGTTTCTCTAAGTACAGACTTCCGTTGCGGTTTGTTAAATTGGCAGCTGTGTGATTCTGACACACCTTTTCTTGGTCAGATTGCGGTATTTATTCAATAAGAGTTTGAGAAGAAAGATTGCATATTTCCTTTGAAAAATCCAATACATGTTCTATTCAAACAATCATGCTCTAAATTGATTTCTGCGTCTGACCTGTGTAATTTTCAAATATGTGAATAGAACCCAAAGAATGCGATTTCTTTTGACTTTCATGCATTGTTGCAGATGAGGTCTCCATTAAGACCATTTTAGCCTGTAGAGAAATTTAAATAACACCCTAATAATAGCTAACTTCCAAACACAGGGCATTAGCACTGACCCTAGGCAAATACAATGTACAGTTAATGCCCACAGAAGGCAACACTTCCTACTTCTATAAGCCTCCCTTCCAAACAATCATAAAATATGTTAGAAAAACCGGCAGTCTTTCTAAGATCCAACGGTATTTCCTTAAAGGCAACATGACAAAACCTCTCCGAACCAAAACGCCATGCTTAGATCCAAGCACTTTAGCCATGGCTCATTATCCTGTGTAGTCTTCCAAGAAATAACAACCGTGCCAGCGCATATGGACAAGATGACAGCAAAGAGCTTGGAATTCCAGGCATGCCAGGAGAGCCATCTACTGTGTCTCCTCCTCCCGCCTCTCACAGTTCCACGGTGACCCTGCTGAAAACTAAAGCAATATAAATGGCGGAGTAAACTAAGGATTATAAGTGTAGCCACCAAGTGACTAATGTTAGTAGCTTTCCCTTTGAAGAGGATAGGTTGTGAGGGTTACCATAACTGATACAGGGAACTGGAGAGATGGTTACAAGCATGCGCTGCTCTCGCAGAGGACCCAGGTTCAGTTCCAAGTACCACATGGTGGCTCCCAACCATCTGTAACTCTAGTTCCAGGGCCTTCTTCTGACCTCTACAGGCATCAGGTGTGTGTGTGGTGCATATACATACAGACAGGCAAAACGCTCACACAGTTAAGTAAGCTTTAACAATAACTGATGTATGGAAACACTTAGGACAATGCCTGCTGTATCCAGTATACACACAGATATTATATACATAGATAATCTTAATAATAGTTATGAGTTCTGAAATAACCATTCTGATGCTTTTTAGGAGATGAGAAGAATAAGGAGGAAACCAATAACACTAGGATGCCATCTTTCTAGCCCCTGGCACCAGAGTCAAGTGAAAGAGCCAGTAGGTTATGGGGATTTAAAGCACATCCTTCTTATGCGCGTTGGCAATCACAATCACCATTATGCCTTGGTTTCTGCAGCCCTCACGGCTGTCAGCTTTTACAGGTGCCGCCTGAAGCTTTGTGTGCTGACTTCAGAATCGCTAGCTTAGTTGGGAAGTGTCAGATCCATTAGATCAATAATTCCCCCAGCATGAGACAGGACAGCCCCATGGTGCAGTCCAGGTGTGTCTGCTGACACGCACTTCAGTGCGACCGTGGGGTTGCATGATGCATCACCGTCTACCTGGAAACGGAAAAGCACAAGCTTCGTCGGGTTAAAATAAATGTGATGGGCACTCAGATCTGCTTAGAGTATTCCAACTCTTCCCCTGTAATAATTAAAATGCAATGCATGTATGTGTATCTCCATGTATGTGTGTGCCCTTTCTTAGGTACTCACCTGTGTGTGTCCATGTGGAGGCCAGAGGCCAACTTTGAGCACTTTCCTCTCTCACTCCCCACCTTACATTTAAAAAGAAAAAAAGGAAAAAAAAAGATTATGTATTCAGTGTTCTGCCTGCAGGGAGAAGAGGGCATCAAATCTCATTACAGATGGTTGTGAGCACATGTGGTTGCTGGGGATTGAACTCAGGACCTTTGGAAGAGCAGACTAAGCTTTTAACCACTGAGCCATCTCTCCAGCCCCCACCTTACATTTTTGAGGCATCTGTTACTGAACCCGAAGCTCACAGATTTGGGTAGACTGCCTGGCCCTCAGGACCCTCCTGTCCCCACTCCCACCCTGAGCACTGGGGACTCACAGGACATGCACTACCACGCCCCAATTTTGTTCTAAGTTTTTTATAATGGAGGAGAAAGTTTATTGTAGATAAAAGGGAGAGAACAGCCAGAGACCGGGACTTCTGGGAGAGTCTAGAGCGGATATGACCCAGAGCCATGTGAGGAGACGGGGAGGGGAGGGGATCAGGAAGAGAAGGTGCTGCAGCTGAGAGGGCAAAGGGCTACCAGGGATGCAGCTTCAAGGTACCAGACTTGCATAGCAAGCGCTTTGCTCATTGAACTGTTTCTCCATCCCCAAAATATTAATAATACTTAAAGTATATGAAATTTTGTATCTATTGAGGCAGAGCTGACACTCCTAGACCAACATTAAAAGACATGCAAAATAAGATTCAATGACAAACAAGTTACATAGGAGATTCTAAGCAGAAGTCAAACACAAAACAGCGAACATCCCCAGATGAAAATTTCCCTTGGTGCTGCTGGAACGTAACCTCTGCTACAGATTGAGTCTGGTCTAGGTTTTGTACTCTACAGCAAGTATTCTTAGTGAGGAAACCTGCAGAGAAGTTTCTGGCATTTCTCGTTATAAATGTCGTTTCATGAGGGTCCTCCTATGGCCGCAAAGTCAAGGTGGTCTTTCCCGTGGGTGGAGTAGACAGCATGGACTCTGCACGCCTGGATCCCCATCTTGCCTTGACTTCCTGGGGCTACAAGGAAGGCTGGGAGATCACCATGTCCGGAAGCTCACCTCTCCGTGAACCTGGCTCTTATACTAGCTGCACCTTCTACAAGGAAGGACCTGACTCAAAACTGGGTTTGTAAAAAAGGCTTGAGACAAACACCCTGAAAGACACATAAAATCAAATGCTATATTTTGAGCGACCTAAGAAAGTTATACATCTTAAATTTGATAAAACTATACTTAAATCGGCGGGGGGGGGGGGGGGAGAATCTTGATAGAGACCCGTGGTTTCGTGTCTCAAGGAAGAGATAGTAAAGCAAAAGAAACTGATTTCATATCAACTCAGTCGCTGACTAGAAGATCCCAGCCGGAAGGGGCCGGAGCAATGGCTCAGCAGCTACGAGCACTGGCAGTTCTCCCGGAAGACCCTGGTTTGCGCAGGATCCACAGGGCACCTTATTACCCTCTGTAATTTCAGTCCCGGAGGATCCAATGCTCTATTATTTCTGGCCTCTGTGGGCACTAGGCATGCATGTTGTGCGCAGACATACACGCAGACAAACCACACAATACATAAAAGAAATTCAATTAAAATTTAAAACCTATAATGGAATTGAAACCATAAAAAACTTTAAAAAAAAATCCTGACTAACTGATACCAGTGAATGAGAGTGTGCATCGCCCCTTGCTCTAATCAGAGGCCTAGATTTGAAAGACATTAATAACGGGATTATTGAAGAGAATGAAGTCAGTTGGGTCATTACAGTAAGTAAAAATTAAATGGACATACATGTAAAGTGTGTATCTTTACACAATGAATGTTTGGGCTTTATCTTTACACTCAGGGGTACATGAGAGAGAGGGAAGCAGAATTAGCTCCCTGTTTCTCTCTTTTGGACTTTGAGCCGCATCTCTCACTCCAAGTGTATCCAGTCCACTCTGGACCCGCTGCGCCTCTTCCCTCCCATCAGACCCCCTGCGCCTCTTCCCTCCCATCATCTCTCTTTCGCTGTCTCTCTGCCTCTCACATCCCAGCCTCCATTCCAGAAACGTGGTCTGAAGTAAAAGTAATTAACTCACTCAGTGACTCCTGGGCAGCCTGTGTCAGGTTCTGCAAGGAAGCCAGCTACACCAAGGTTTCGAAGTGAGTCTTAAATTATGTGACCATTAATCATGAGACGGACAGCTATTCTGAATGGGAGATTTTTAGGGACCCCTCTACCAGGAACCAGTGTTTCCTTCTGCTAGCCCCCCTTCCCTCTGTGCCCAGCCCTTCTTCCAAGACAGGGGATTGGCTGCTTGCCAAGCCACAGCCTGGCGTGGAAGAATAGCATGTGCGGTAAGATCAGAATAGCAGGATGAACTTTTCAGCAGAAATGTCAGCCCTTGTGTGTGCTGAAGTTGCTCGAGGACGTAGCTGCCCAATCACACAGGGAGGCTGTGCAGTCACACCTACGCCAGAGATTTAGGAAACTTCTTTACAGTTCTCTTTGAGGGTTGCAACATATTAACGTCTTTAGCTTGAAATACACCTCTGAATTTTGATCGTTCTTTTTAAACCCATTAAAAAGTCATTTAAATTTAAATATAGCTCTTAAACTTGGTTAAATATCATTCGAGGTGAAAACAAACATAGCTTAAAAGCCCCATGCAGGTAAGTTATTCTACCCCTTCTGATGTCCGCGTCTACCTGCAGCTCTTGAACACATGCTGCCAGAGGAGATAACATGGTTCACAACTAGTTCTGAATGTCATTCCAGACTTTAAAAATAATCACAGGATCTCTTTAGGTGTCTCCATCAGATGGAAATGGACTATATATAAATATTCTAATTTTTAAACAAAATTCCCAGGCAGGCAAGGTGACCTGGTGTATAAAAGCACTTGTCACATAAGCCTGAAGATCTGAATTCAGTTCCCAGAACTCAGGTAAAGATAGAAGACACACTTGTGCACATCCATAATCCTGGCATTTCTACCACAAGATGAAATGCAGAGACAAGAGAGTTGCCTGGAATCTTGAAGGCCCGCTAGACTGGAGTATGGTGCGCAACATCACACAAGAAAGACCCTGCCTCAAGCAGGGTAGAAGGTGAGAACTTACTTCCCAAAAGATGTCCTGACTTCCACATGCATTGTGTGGCCCTATGCACTTGTGTGCACTTGCATTCAACACACGCACACTCACATGTGCACGCGCGCGCGCGCACACACACACACACATATGCACACATACTCACACGTGCACACACACGTTCTTTTTGTTTTACAGAAAGAGGGCAGAAAGGACTCTTGAAGGTTACTGTACCCAGTGCCTGGCCTCTCCATCTGGATTAGCATACTTGGAAGAGGAATGCCAGTAGGCCTCCTGAGCTGGCACAGAGCCAGGTTTCCTTGACAACCACCTCCTTAAATCTGGTACCAAGCGCCACCTGCTGTCCACAACAAGCAGGCATCCCGCAGAAAATCTAAGAGGTTTAAGGAGGCAGAGGAAGCTGAAGGACATGCCCAGATGGTGTAAACAGGACCAAGAAGGCAGGAAGCAGGATGAATTGTTATTACCCACGAAGGATTTGTGTGGGTGCCGTGGAAGATAATAATGTAACATCCGTGACCTATAGACATGAAGGTGTGTCTGTGTGTGTTTATGTGCACATACATGCACATGCATGTGAAGGCCAGAAGACCTTTGCCATTCCTGGAAGTGCTGTCCACCTTGTTTTTTTAAGATAGTAAGACGGATGTCTCATTGGTCCAGAGCTTGCTAAGTAGGCTAGAGTGTCTTGCCAGGGAACCCCAGGGATCAGTGTGTCCCTACCTCTGCAGCACCAGGATTGCAAGCAGCACTGTCAGCACAGATTGTTTTAGTGGATTCTAGGGGATTGAACTCTGATCATCAAGCACTTTATGTCATCCCAGCCTATGATTGACAGTCTTAGAAAGCAGGAAATCTGGTGTAGAGGGTGTGGGGACGGAGTCCAGCGGTCTTACTTCCACTTTGCCGTGCATCAGCAGTCACTCCATGGCAGAAATGTTGGTAGGTCTCTGTCTCCTCCCTACGTAGATAACATAATTCAAGCCTCACGAGCGGCACACTGTAGAGATACTTAATTTGTATTTTAATAAATAAAGCTTACTGAAGGTCAGAGAGTAAAACAGCCCCACTGATCAGCCTTCCAGACCAGGCAGGGGTGACACAGACCTTTAATCCCAGTAGCCACATTAGTTTGCCATAATAATCAGGCAGTAGTGGTGCACGTCTTTATTCCCAGCCCTAGAGAAGAATATAAGATGGGGGAACAGCTCTCACACACAGCCTCATTCTGAGATTCCTGGAGGCAGGATCGCCGTTATGGACTGAGGTAGAGGTAAGAGCCAGTGGCTGGCTGTTTTGCTTTTCTGACCTTCAGGTTGAACCCCAATATCTATCTCTGGGTTTTTATTAATTTTGCTACAGCACCTGAAAGCAGACTTAAGTCGTGGTGGAGACTTTAAGCTTAGGGAAGGTTGATGAGTTTCCTGAGTCCGCTCAGCTTGTGGCAGAGCTGGAGCAGAGATGTCCTACTTGGCCCTGAGCTTGCTATTCACTTTGCTCTCAGCTAACACTTGTTTACCAATGAAAATTGTATCTGTGTGGTGGCAGACACCACACATCACCCCACACGGCACCCCTGGTGCCACCCCTGCCATACCCTAAGGTAAGTTGCACCATGACTTAGGATGGCTGCTTCCCCTGCTACCCGGGCAATAGTCCGGAACTGCAGTGGAGACAGATTTTAAGATGTTTAGCCCACAGAAGGTGTCATCTTCTTAGCCCTCTTAGACATAAAGGCAGGAGACTAGAGAGCAGAAAGGGAGACTGTCCTGATGTACATATGGTCTCCGTTCCCCGGAGCAAAGCTGTTCATGTACAGCCAGGGCTGTTCTGAACCACTAGGAAAGTTTGGTGCCATCTTCTTTCATGGATGTGTGATTTCCAGGCCTCATCTAAAACCAAATGATTTCCCAGTAAAAGTCAGGGTCACGGAGTTACATC